GCCCATCAATGATAGTCTGGATAAAGAAAATGTGGCACATATATACCGTGGAATACTATGCAGCCAGAAAAAAGAATGAGTTAATGTCCTTTGCAAGGACATGGATAAAGCTGGAAACCATCATTCTTAGCAAACTGATACAAAAACAGAAAACCAAACACAGCATGTTCTCACTTATAAGTGGGTGTTGAACAATGAGAATACATGGACACATGGAAGGGAACATCACATACTGGGGCCTGTTGGGGGGTGGGAGGCCCGGGAAGGGATAGCAGGGAGTGGGGGTCAGGGGAGGGATAGCATTAGGAGACATACCTAATGTAGATCACGGGGTAATGAATACAACAAACCACCTTGGCACGTGTATACCTATATGACAAACCTGCACTTTCTGCACATGTACCCCAGAACTTCAAGTATATTAAAAAAAAAAGAGTCAAAAAAAATTGACACCGACACCTGCATTCAACTTGAGAATGTGAGGGTCAGCACTTTGGTGCAGTGTGTGACACCTGCTTATGAACCACGGTACACCTGCTGCTGGCTGCAGTGCTGTCAAATGCAGGGACTCGGTGGCCATTTACATTGCCACTCTGTATCTTTATGACTGTGTGTGCTAAAAGCAGCTTAACTGCCAGCAGACATCTGCCCATAATAATGCCGTGAGTTGAAATGCTGCTAAATCATGAGAAACAAGTGCTTTGAAACACAACACAAGGGGATCGTTGCAGGCTTTTCTAGCATCTCTGGCTTCGTGTTTCTTTTCACAGAGAGATGAATCCTTCTTCGCTACAGTTTGGAATAAGAGGAAAGGAAAGTTAAAAGACCCACTAGTTATTAAAAAAAAGTGCCTTCTTTAAGATTGGTTCTTAACATACACTGAGTCATTTAACCCTCACATCTACTCTGTAGGCTGCATATTATTATCCTCATTTTCTACATGAAGAAATTAAGGCTCCCCCCTAATTCATTCTGAATACCTACTGTGTGCTACGTGCCAGGGACTATGTTGTGCACTTGGGATACAGAGGCATTGATTGTGGTTCTCATCAATGTGCCATTATATTCTGGCATCCGAGGAATTGAGACATCAGTGCAGGGAGAAATATCATGGAAGGCATCACAGATCCATGCCGCTAGAGCTGAGGCTTGGTGGAGAAGCAAGGATCTTCCAGGCAGACTAGGCTGGGAAAAAAATATTCCAGGCAGAAGGAACAGATGGATAAAGGTGACTTCAATAAACAGTAGGTTTTCCATGTGGTGGCATGTCGGGCTTGGAGAGTGAGGAAGAGGGATTTGAGGGGAAGTTTTCAAAGATGCGGCTGCAGGGGTGAGAAGGCCAGCCACAAAACACTGCTCTCCCAACAAGTTTAGGTGTTACCTTACAGCAGGCATCCCACGTTTAACAATGGGATAACCAGGTCAGATCACTGTGGCAGAGGGTAAATTGAATATAGAAGACAGAAGACCAGCAGGTCAGTATATGATTGTCCAGTTTGCATTGGCGTTAATTCAGGAATGAGAGATAAGAGCCCTCTCTGAAGAAGGGAGAGTGGAGGTTGAGTTTTGGAACATATCTGATAAATATAAAAGAGGCAATATCAATAAGACTTAGTCATCAATTATACACAGCTAAACAACAAATGAAACTGGATTAGAACAAGGGTTTGGCCACGGAAGCCTTTTGCTTCTTCCTTTCTTCGTCTTGTTCTAAGCCATCTTGAATCAGTGGAAGATTCTCAGGAGTGGGGAAGACTGCGGTGACCATTAAGCAGACGTAACTGAGAGTCAAACCCACAGCCGGGTTGGTTCCACTCAGAACATATGTATTTACCTTCTCTCTGTGCCTCCGTTTCAATATTTACCACTGAGAACATTGGCAGTGGGTGTTTAACTGTCTTATTGGGAGGCTCCATCATAGAGTCAAAGTGCATAATCTGCTCGCGTAGATAATAAAGCCAATATTCCCCTTTCAGAATCTGGAATTTAGCAATACAAGAATTGAAAAAAACGACCTGGCTGGTGTTTTTATTCCAGTTTTTTTCTTGTGTGGTGGAAATGACCCTGGTGTTATTTCTGTGTTTAAGGCATGTGATACAGGTTAGAGTTTAAAGTTGAGAAGGTTGAGCCATAAGAAAACATGCCAAAGCAGGCTTTTCTTCGTACTTTAGATGGTGGATTTGGAATTAAAATGTGACTCTTTTGTAATCCTAGGTTTTAAAGAATTGTGTTAAGAAGATCTGTTGTGACTGTGGTCATCTCACCAAGCTTTGGCATATATTTGGTAGAAACAATGAGTTGTAGTTTGTCTCTCTGTCTTATAAAACTGATTATATTTGAAATTAAGCTGAAAGATTTTTTTTCCTTGGAGATAGAAAAATCATATTTTGAACTTCTCCATATTCCAGTCTCTTATTTGGGATTTATAGTGATGATACCCGATACTGAGAATTATGTACGTGTCTGCGCATAGAGCACATGTGTATAGTTTCCCTCTGGCTTCTGAGAAGTTTTTCTATTTTATCATGGGTTCTGTTTTAATCCCACTGATGATTGTTAAGAGGAAGAACAGCAAATATGTAGTAATCATGAATAGAAGTCTCAAACTCAAAACCTGTAACTTGACTGACCCAGAGAAACCAGGCAGAGAATAAAGGGTTGTACAATTATTTATCTTGCCAGTAGAACAGATGCTCAGATACTGTCTGGCAAAACCAAAACCACCCACCCCGAATTTTAGATGAAGAAACTGAGGCCTCCAGGTAGGAAATGAGTGGCCAATAGAATAGAGTAGAATGTTCTTAGTCCCTCATTTTGCTTCCTATTTGTTGGATTTTTCAAAGAAATATACATGAGCAGCATCTGTGCATATTTGTGAGGATATACTTTTATGTCTTATGATCTTCTAAGCAGTGGTCATGCCATTATAGCAAAGGCATTTGGTAAATCTCCAGCAATTTGTTCTAATTGATAAATTTTATTTGAAACATTGGCAACTGATTTAGAGAGAAGAAATATGGAGGGAAGAGACATGCATACATTTCTCTTTTTCTTTCATCACTCATCCCATCTTACCCCAACATATAAACCCACCTCAACAGAAAGGATATTGGAGTGACAAGTGCATCTGGAACTTGAGGCTGGATCCCTTGGTATGAGTGGCTCTTGAAAGACCCCCTTCTGTGGGCTATTGGCCAGCTATTTTTCTGCAAAGTAGATGCAGTCTTTCTTGGAGAAGATCATTTCATGCTTCTTAGTATGTTTAACCTTTATAGCAAGACACTGTCATCAAAATGACAAACTCCAACAGGGCCTTCTAAGAGGCCAGTAAATCAGAAGCCTTATGAAATCTGTGGGATTAGCATGCTCCCCCTCTTTGTTTCTGCAGGGTAAGAAAGCCCTGTGCATTTCAGATTTCAATCTTCTCTGCAGGCCCCTTGTCTGAAACCTCCTGCTGTAGCTCACTGGTATTTGAATATTATTTTCATTCAGTCGCCTGGGGCCACATACTGACACCAACTAAGGCTGGCACATTGTTTATCCCCATCAGCAATGTTGTAAAGCAAAGATAAGTGTTCTGATGTTTGTTTAGTTGAATTCTCCCCATCCTGGAGAGCACCCTTCCTGGGTCTGAAGATAGTGGCTGACTTCTCATGTCATCATTCCCGTAGTAGCGCGCAATAGCTCAGCAGGCTCTCATCCCCAACCAGTTAGTTGCCTCTGATCTCCTCGTCCCATGGCTCAGTCCGTAATGAAAGTTTTATGAGAAACCTAGCATCTTCAGCCACTATAAGATGGAGCCTCGTTCTGTGGAAATCCACAAAGTCAAGGCTGTATTGAGAGCAGAGGTAGAAAGAGAAAAGAATTGATGAATAACAGTTCTGTTATCTATGTAGATGATAAAGTACTTACTGGGGGGTGACTCTTTTGTCAGAGTTTACACATTCATATTTTCTTTTTTTTTTTTTTGAGACGAAGTTTCGCTCTTGTTACCCAGGCTGGAGTGCAATGGCACGATCTCGGCTCACCGCAACCTCCGCCTCCTGGGTTCAGGCAATTCTCCTGCCTCAGCCTCCTGAGTAGCTGGGATTACAGGCACGCACCACCATGCCCAGCTAATTTTCTGTATTTTTAGTAGACAGGGTTTCACCATGTTGATCAGGATAGTCTCGATCTCTTGACCTCGTGATCCACCCGCCTCGGCCTCCCAAAGTGCTGGGATTACAGGCGTGAGCCACCATGCCTGGCTACATTCATATTTTCAAGTTGGAAAGGACCTCTGAGGTTTTTCAGTTTAACTGAATATCTGATGCATGTATACCCCTGGACAAAATTCCTAAATTGCTATGTAGACTCTATAGGAATATGTACTCTCATCTCCATATGATATACTAAATGCTTGGCAGTGGTTAGCTTATTTAATCTTTGCAATAACTACATATGATACATGCTATTTTCATTCTTAATTTATGTCTGAGGAATTGGGGTCAAGGATAGGTTAAGTAACTTGCCCAAGGTCACCCAAAAATATGTTGAGGTAATGATCTCTGGGTCTTCCCTCCTGAGTCCTCTCTTCTGTGATCGATATACTTCACTAATCTCAGTAACAAGAATGTTCACCTCTTCATGAAGCAGCCATTGCATTTTTGGGTGTTAAAAAGTAGTCTAAAAATCTTCCTTTCACTGTAACTGAAGTCTCTTTGTTTAAACACTCTTTTATTATTGTGATAAAATACGTATAACATAACATTTACCATTTTAGCCTGTTTAATTTTTGAGACAAGTCCTGGCTGTCTTGCCCTGACTGGAGTACAGTGATGCAGTCTTGTAATGTCAGCTCACTGTAACCCCTGCTTACCGGGCTCAAGCCATCCTCCCAACCTCAGCCTCCTAAGTAGCTGGGACCACAGGCATGCACCATCATACCCAGCTAATTTTTGTATTTTTTGTAGAGATGGATTTTCACCATGTTGCCCAGGCTGGTCTCGAACTTGTCAGCTCAAACGATCTGCCCACCTCGGCCTCTCAAAGTGCTGGGATTATAGGCATGAGCCATCACGCCTGGCCTCATTTTAGCCATTTTTAAGTGTACTGGTATTGATCGACTTACGACCTATGCAACTTATAACCATTCGACTTTACGACCACAATCGCTAGCCACGACGGCTCCGCATCTGGCAGAGCAAATGTTGCCCAGCTGGGCGTACGACAGTGCGGACTAGCTTCCAGCAGCACTACCATCTCCACGTGCACC